TCTACCCATCTATTAGTTCATATATTGGGTTGATCGTTCCACTGCAGTGGACACCTTTTATTTCTTGAAACTTAATTGAAACAAATGGAACTTGAGTTAGGTTTATTTGCTTATTTTTCTTTGTTTGTTTTATCCAGACAGGGTTTTGTACCTCAGCCTAGCCTGGAACTGGCTATGTAGCCCAAACTGACTTCCATCTTGCAATCTTCCTGCCTCCATTTCCTGAGTGCTAGGGTTACAGTTTGTTTTTATTTTATGATAAAATTTCTCAGCCGAGCGTGGTGGTGCATACCTTTAATCCCAGCACTTGGGAGGCAGAGGCAGGCAGATCTCTGTGCGTTCAAGGCCAGCCTGGTTTACATAGTGAGTTCCAGGACAGCTGGTACTACAGGGAGACCCTATCTCAAAAAGACCAAAAAAAAAAAAAAAAAAAAAAAAAAAAAAAGTTTCTCAACGTTACATTAGCTTTCTGATAAACACGACTGCTGTTCATTCACAATAATCTTACTGTCAACTATACCTATGTGTGATTACATGTATGTACTTAAAATAAATCTACATATCTCCAAGAGCAGTTTTCGGATGACTTCTCCCTCCAGAAGGCCTCCAGAGAAGGTGAGAGTTTATGTAACACAAATGGAACGCACCTCCTCCCTAACCCCACTAGAGAAAGATCTGGTTCCCAGGCTGTGCCCTTCATCATTTTGCTATTGTGAAACTCCTGTTTATGTGGTTATGGAAGAGTGGTTGCTATGGCAATGGGATCTGACTGAATACCAGAATGCATCTAAAATTGGTGGAAGTGACTTTTTCAAGGTTTTCTCTAAGGATTAATCATTTTCTAAGAATTTTACCTCTTCCCCCTTTCCTGTTAGAACATCACCAGAGCACCTTGTTCAGTATCCTGCGCTGGGCTTACAGGTGTGTGCCAACATTCCTGGCCCAGCCTGGGCTCTCTTACCTGGGTAGCTTTCTGGCTCCTTTTCCTTCTCTAAGCCCTCACTGAGGGCACTCTCTAAACCGCATTCTCCGACCATCTATGTCCTTCCTTCTTTTGCTTTTTGTCTTTTGCAGTTGCCTCTGCAGGATTTCCAGGTCAGAGCTGCAGTCCTAACCCCTCATTCTCAATCATGTCCCCACAATACTGGAAGCAGAATCATGATTAGGAGGGCTGCTTGTCCTTGTAGCTCCTCCTCTGACTCCTCCTCCATTTGTCAAGGCTCTCAGCCTGTGTCTGAGCACAGCACAGCTCCTGCACCCTGAAGTCTCTGCTGGGCTGGGCTGAGCCTTCCACATCCAGTCCCTACTTCTCAGTGCCTGCCACACAGAGTTGTCATCATTTGAGTCCTTTTTCTTCACCAGTGAGAACAGGAGCTCCATCTCCTTGGCTGGTTCCTAGGACCATACGAGTCCATAAGTGGGCATGTCATTGCTGTCTTTTTCTTTCTTTTTTTGGTCTTTTTGAGATAGGGCCTCCTGTAGCCCCAGCTGGCCTAGAACTCACTATGTAGACCAGGCTGGCCTTGAACTCACAGAGATCCACCTGCCTCTGCCTCCTGAGTGCTGGGAGTCAGGCATGCGCCACCACCCCCAGCTTGTCATTGCCATCTTATATCCTCAACATTCCCAAACTGTCTCCCCTAACCCTGAGACCTCCTGTTTGCCACTTTACAGATTCAATCTTTGAGGTGCCTTCCTTCATTGGCTTCCTTTTGTTCTGTATATTCTGATGATATTTCCACCACAACTTCCCACAAATTAGCATTCATTCCCCACGCTAGTCTTGGTCCTCAGTTTAGACTAGATATTGTCCCAACTGCTGCCTTACTTCATGGCCTGGCAGCTACCTAATTGAAGCCCTGCACAAAGCCTCCAGATTCATGGCTTCTATCTTCCCACCTTGGCCTACGGCCACACTGTGAGATGCAGGCCTGCTGCTAGCTTCGTTCCTTCTCGCCCTTCCTTCCTGACCTCCTGCTCTTCTCTGCATCCAACTCAGACCTCAACCATACCACTCCCTACCTACCCTTTCCCTCTGGGCCCTCCGCCTTTGATAAGTGTTCTCCCAACTGAATCCTCTGCTAAGGCTTCACTTGTGCTCCCCTATTCAAATGTGAAAAGTCCCGTTCCTTAGTACCTCAGGGTGTGACTTCAAGTAAGGCTGTTGCAGATGCAGTTATGATGAGGTCATACTGGAAGAGGGTGGGTCTAATCCAATGAGAATGTATCCTTTAAAACGGGGAAGAGACTGGGCGTGGTGGCGCACACGTTTAATACCAGCCCTTGGGAGGCAGAGGCAGGCAGATCTCTGTGAATTCAAGGCCAGCCTGGTCTACATAGTGAGTTCCAGGACAGCTGGGGCTACAGGGAGACCCTGTCTCAAAAAGACCAAAAAAAAAAAAAAAAAAGGGGGGGGGGAGGGGAGAATTTGGACACAAAAACACAAACACAGGGAAAATACCATGGGAGGAGATGGGAGAGAACGTGGCCATTGACGAGCTGTGGGGACAGGCCCTTTCCTCCAGTCCACACAAGAAGCAACCAACCAATGTCTTGATTTTGCATTCAGAGCCTCCACAACTTGGAGACAACACGTTTCTGTTGTTTAATCACACACTCTGGTCCACATGCCTCCCATACTGCTTTCTCCACTTTCAATTCCCTGGTCTTTTATATGCTGTTAACCAGTGCTACCATAGCATGCTCCTGTTGCCTTAGAGCTGCATTCCACTTGTGTTGTGAGTACATTTCAGATTGCCTAACAAGAGTCTGCTCCCTGTAGGATAGGCTTTTTCTTTGTGCTTCTTTTTCATCTCTGAAAGTGCAGGTTGAGTTAAATTGAATTTACCCCAGAGGGCCATTCCTTGGTCAATATGTTACAGTTTTATAAACCCACTGAGGTTAAACAAGAGAGGGCCAAGGAGTACCAGGACGGAGATTGACCAGTACACCGTGGGGCTCCCGTTGACCTTTAAGTCACAGGCCATTAGACTTTGATGGAACATTAGGGTGAGTTCACACTTCTTGTGAGTCTGTGTCTGTGTGTGTGTCTGCTGTATATGTGTGCACATGTTCATGTGTGTGCATGTGTGTAGGAACACAAGTTTGTATGTGTACATGCACACAGAAACCACAGGTCAGTATCAGGTGTCTTCAGTCATGTCCCTCATTGTTCTTAGACTGGGAGCTTGCTGATTCAGGTAGACTGGCAAGTGCCAGACATCTTTTTGTCTCTGCCTTCCTGTTGCTGGGACCTGCCACTGTATCTGGTATTCTCTTCCTTTTCTCTTCTTTCTTTGTTAAATACTCATGCTAGATAGGAGTCCAAGCTCAGGTCCTCATGCCTGGCAGCAGGCACCTTACCAACCAAGTCATCTTCCTAGCCCCTAGTCCACTCTCCTTATATAGAAGATGTGGAGGTTTCAGGCTGATAAGAGTGGTTACATCACAGAACTAGCATTTGGCTTAGGTCTCCCGATTCCTAGACTAGTACTGTGTACAAGGGTGGGTGGTGCTGTAAGATTCAGATAGCCCCGCCCCCTCACCTCTTGGACCTCACAAGCAAGCCCACTGAGAAAAGGGAACCGAGTTGATAAGCACCCTGGTCTTTGAAGTCAAGAGAAGCAGAATTTTCTCCACTATTTGGCCAACACAGCAGGCTTCCTCTTTGATCTCTAAAGGGAGCAGGTTTTAACAGTCCTGCTCTACCACCCCAAGCCTCCCCCTGTAAAAGACCCCAGCTCACAACCCCGGGGCAGACATTTTCCCTGCCCAGAAGGGAATCTGTCTCATGTGTTCCTTTGCTAATAAACTCTATTCTGCTGGAGTTTGATCTGTGTCCTGGTGCTTTCTCCCTATCAACCAGACTCATCCATCACCTACTTCATCTATCAGGTGCCTGCCAGAGGGTGGAGGAGGTGCTGCTGAAAGGGAGATTGGAGGCCACCTGTGCAAGCTGATAGGGCAGGTCAACATAATACAGGCTAGAGATTTACAAAAGCTCTAGCATCATTAATGGGAAGGTAGAGATAATTAGAGCAAGGTTAGGGAGCTGAGCTTTGCAGGACAAAGGTCTGAAGAAAGTCAATGGATGGTCAGTCTACGTGCAGAGGGCAGTAGTCATACAGGTCTCTGCCTCAGCTCAAGCAGATGTCTATCAGCAGTCAGGACTAAGTGTGGCCTTTGGGGAAACAGCTGTGTCCCTGGTGTGAACATGGATTTATGTGCTATTATGTGCTACTATTAGTTGATACACTGAAATGGTTCCTAGGTAGCGCAAACGGGAAGCCAAGAACCCCAACTGAAAGCCCAGGCTTTCCAGAACAAAATAGGAAGATATGTATACATCAGAGTTCACTATCTTACTGAAAGAAGGTTCTAGGTCCAAAATACTTGAGTGTATTGAAGTCAGTGACCCTGAAACATGGTAACCATGTGTCTATGGCCCTTTAAAATTATGTTTAGAGGGGTGTAATTGGCCTGAGAAAACACGATACTATGTTACGTGGAAAGTACAGACTTAGGAAGAAAAAGTGCAGACAACTAAATGAAACAGTATGCTCTCAAGTGTTTGTTGAGTTCACTGGTGATTTTTTTTTTGTTTTTGGTCTTTTTGAGACAGGGTCTCTCTGTAACCCCAGCTGTCCTGGAACTCACTATGTAGACCAGGCTGGCCTTGAACTCACAGAGATCCTCCTGCCTCTGCCTCCCAAGTGCTGGGATTAAAGGTGTGCGCCACCACGCCCGGCTCATTGGTGATTTTTAAACCTGTCCTATTTTCTGTAGTATGTATTCTAAATTCTGTGGTGAGTGTGGATTATTTATAGGGTGTAAAGGTGATTGTGTCTTTATATTAAAAGTACTATTTCTGTGTTTACAAGGTTATCAAAGCTTCCAGGCCTGGTCTTATTGTCAAGGCTTGGCCTTGACTCTGCTTTCTTGGAATTATCTCCCCAGTCAAGAGGAAACCCCATCCCACATCTGCCAATGCCTTTGCTTACATTCAGAGTATTTCTGGAGTTGATCAAATTCTTCCGAAGTGAGAGAGACCCATCGTTCTTCACTCATCTTTCAGCTGAGTGTGAGTGCCTTGAGGCCAGAGATGGAGTTTTGTTCACCAGGGAGAAGCCCAGGCCCAGCCCAGAGCCTGGCTCATTACAGGCATGCCATGGATCAGGCCTTTGGGAGACTTCTCTGGGACATAAGTGTCAGTGTCAGTTGTGGGCACCTCTGTGCAGCTGAGAAAAGACCTCTGCTATTCCTCGGGCAACATTCTCCTGTTGTAGTCCACACCAGTCCCGAAATCCTGACAATGCCTGTGTGGAAGCAGAAAAGCCACTGTAAATGAGAATGTCAGCAAAAAAGAATCCACAGATGTTCTCTGTTGGAGGGGGGAAGCAGTTCAGTGGTCCTCCAGGGCTGATCTATCTTCAGGGAGATCTGGGGAGGGCACAGAGGCAACATTATTTGGCTGGGTGTTGGGTGGCAAGCCAGCCAGTGTGATGGGGTGGCCACATTCTAAGCACTGGGGAAGTTGAACTATCTTGCATGAGGCAGATGATGTACATGCCTTGGCCTGTTAGATGCCTCGTGAAAGGTGAACTATATTCTCCTTGGTTCATTTCTAAATCCCACCACTACCATTTCTTTGCTCTACTGGGCTGCTTTGGAAATTCAGATAATCCCAAGGCCCGCTGCATCGAGGGCTAGAGTCGTTCTGTTTCCTTCTCAGAGCTGTAAAAAACGGGGTGGGAGAGGACCTGCCTGCTTCAGGGCACAAGACCCTGGGCAAATGAGGGAGTGGACCGGCGTACTTAGTGCCTTTGCCTTTGGTCCTTTCCTAGCACAGTGTATTCTATTAAATTAGTGTGTGAGTGATGAAATAAAAGTAATGGGGCTAGACCGGAATTAAAAACATGAACTAGGACAGAATGGAATAAAGTTGAAAATACAAGTGCCTCTGCTACAGTGGGTTTTGTTCCATGAGACTTTCCTTTTACTTATAACACATGTGTGTACACTGACCATAACAAGAAAGTGCACTTCTTATTCTGGGTTGAGGATAAAAACAGATTAGTAAACCTTCGACATAGTAGGAGGCATAAAGAAAGAAAGAAAAAAACACAGGCTCCGATGTTAGTAAAGAACGAGCCCAGTGTTCATACCACAGGATCTGCCCTGGGGACTGTCTTAGTTCGAATCTCTATTATTGTGATAAAACACTGACCAAAACCAACTTGCGGAAGAAATGGTTTATTTGGCTTACAACTCACAGTCGCTTATCAAGGGAAGCCAAGGCAGGAACTCAGGGCAGGACCTGGAGCACGGACCGTGGAGGTATGCTGCTTACTGACTTGCTTCTCTCTCTGGCCTGTGCTCAGCTTGCTTTATTATACAACACAGACATACCTGCTTGGGAGTGGCACTGCCGCGGTGAGCTGGGCCCTCCCACACCACTCAACAATCAAGAAAAAGCCCCACAGACATGGCCACAGGCCAGTCCAATGGAGGAAATTTCTCAATTGAGGCTCCCTCAACCCAGGTCTGTCAAGTTGACAACTACAGCTGTCTAGCACAGGGACCAACTTTAAGGCAGGTCTTGGGGGACTGGAGCACGTGGGTACACAGGAAGGAGGTCCCAGTAGGGAGCCATCTGTAGAGTTCTCTGGAGTGTACAGATAATGCTGGTGCAAGCCTGCGCTGGAAGGCTAAACTACAGCCGAGGGACTGAGATTTTAGCTCCATAAGGAAGAGGTGATGTGAAGACTGTGCCAGGGAGTGAGATGCCGGCTGGCATCTCTGGAGGCAGCCAAGTGGAACTCTTTCTCCTATAAAAAGACCAGTGTCCTTGTTCTACTGGAAGACTGGGTTTTGTTTTACAGCAGCTGCTCTTCTTAGAGTTACCAGTTCCAAATCCCACAGGTATTTACTTTTCAGTCCTTTTTGACTTTGTTCTCTCTCTGTACAGTCTTTGTCTTGGCAGAAAACCTTCACTACTTATCTCTCTGAGAGTTCCTTACTTGACTCCTTCAGCTACTTCTGCCATCTTCAAATACTGGTGTTTTTCATTCAGCCTCCCTTCCCCGAGGGACTTCATCCCTTCACGGTCTGTGACTCTCCAACATGGAGTCCTCGCTCTGATCCAATTCTGAGTATTCTGATCTTAAAATCCTGCACTTAGATATGACTATCTATTGAGACTCTATTATAGGTCCCAAAGCATCTTAAACCAGCATCTTAAACTAGTGTTCCCAACTTGCTCTTCTGCACTCCAATCACACCCCAGAAGAGCGATCAGTACCCAATCAATACAGAGACCAAGCGTGAGATTTAGCCTAAGCTCCCTGTTACTCTCCCGATGGTGGCTGACTCTTGAAAGCTCTGTCCTCACCACTACACCAGTCCTTTCCTGAGTATCATCTCCAGCCTGGTCTTTGACAATAGCCTCCCACGGGTCTCCCTATCTTGGCTTTTGCTCTCCTTCCTCCTATCTGCTCTGTAAATTGTCAACCAGATCACATCCTCTGCTAACAGAATTCTTCAGTGCTTATATAGCAGTCCTCTTTTCATGACCTCATTATGATCTAGTCCCTGATGATCAAGATCAACGCAGTCCAAAAGCAAGAAATGTCTTTTAGACACATTTTCCATCATGCTAGGGAATTCAACACTTACCACTGTTGTTTCTAATGCTTAACAGACATTCATTTTACAGTGTATCGTGTGTTTTACATATACCATCTAACCTAGTTCTCATAACAACATGCACATTAAGAACAGTCATATTCATTTGACAATGTTTTGGTCAACAATTGTTGAACATACAATGGTAGGCTCATAAGATTACAGTGGACCTAGAGTGTTCCTTTGGCCTAGTAGTTGTCTAGAGATGTGTAGTGTAACTCATTCCTCATGTGTTTGTAGTAATGTGGTGTAAACACATCTGCACTGCTAGTCACATGACAATATAACTCCTACAATTGTGTACAGTACATAACAGTTGGTAGAGAAAACGAATGACTATGTTACTGGTTTATGTATTTACTATACTGTATTTTTAATCATGAATTAGAGTGCTTTACTTGTGAAAAGAGTTTACTTAAAAGCAGTAAGTCATAGTATTTCAGTAGCAGCATCCTGAATCCTGTGTTTTGAAGGTCTTTTGTTTTCATCAAGAGGCCGCACTGAGCGACTGACCTATACCATCTAGTTTGTGTACATGTCTATAAATGAGGAAATCATCTAAGGTCCCTCTATTAAGTGACACATCGTGCGTTGCTAAGCATGAAGCTAAGCATTTAGTAAACATGGCCAAAAAAAAAAAAAAAGGGAATCACTAACGCTTTTGTTTAAAAATGCCTCTAACGGGGCTGAAGAGTTGGCCCAATGGTTAAGAGCACATATTGCCCTTCCAGGCGACCTGAGTTTGATCCCTAGCATCCACATCATGCAGCTCACAGTAGCCTGTAACTCCAACAGTTTATCCCCGAATAGGACATTATGTCAAACTTCTGCCTCCTAAGGTTCAGGGATCATTGCTGAAGAGGGGGCAGGAAGACTGTAATAAGAGCCTGAAGAGGTGGATGGCCACAAGGAAACAGTTTTCCAGACAGCTGGTCAGTTACTCCTATGAACTCACAGCAACTGTGACAGCATACACAAGACCCTCATAAGCTCAAGCCACACAAAATCCCAGCAGAGATGTGGGCAGGTGGGTAAGAAACTCCACCTTACCTGAGAAACTATTGGCAACTGATGGCTACTGTGGGAGGGGAGAGCCGACCTAATTTAAGGGTCAGTCTTGGTAGGCTGACAAGGCTCCAGTGCATGGATTCATACCAAAGAGCATTTGGAGACACATATTTGACTCTATAGGACTTACATAATAATGTAATGTAATATACTATAACATTGTACATAAAATTGAACAGAGGATAGGAAGGGGGTGTAGACAGTGGAGGGGATCTAAATATAGTCAAAATATATTGCATGAAATAAAAAAAATTTAAAAACATAACCTAGAACTGATAAAATTACAGAATAAAAAATCAATATAAAAATGTAATGACTTTCATCTGAAATTAGAAATTTAAAATATAACACTACTTGGCATAAATACCTATGATGGAAATATATGTGTATCATTAATGAAATCCAGACAGTGTGTGTCAATAGACTATGAAAGCCTTGTGAAAAATAAAGCAAAGCAAATGCAACTACTAAAGTTCAAATGTGGGAATTCTTAATATTGTCTGTAAATCCATTTTTCTCTAAATGATTTGCAATTTAATGCTCTCTAAATGTGCCAGTCTGTTAATCACAGTTAAAATCAAGTAAGCTATCTAATAGTTATAATTAAAAAAAAAGAGGAGGGACTGGAGAGCTGGCTCAGTGGCTAAGAGCACTGACTGCTCTTGCAGAGGATCTGGGTTCAGTTCTTAATACCCACATGGTGGCCAACAAGTGTCCATAACTCCAGTTCCAGGAGATCTGATACCCTCTTCTGGCCTTTGAGAATATTGTATGACATGGGTGCACTTACAGAGATGTAGGCAAAACATTCATATACACAAAATAAAAATGCATAAAATAATAATAAAAAAGAATACCTCTATGAGCCAGATGTGATAGTACCTGTCTGCGATCCCAGGAACCAGGAGGCTAAGGCTGGAAGATTGTGAATGTGAGGCCAGTCTTAGCCAAAAGTAGCAAGGCCTGGTCTCAACAAAACAAAAAACAAGCCAAAGCTAAACCAAACCAAAACCAAAACCAAACCAAAACAAAACAATGCCTCTCTGGCTTAATTCTTCAGCACACTTCAGAAGCATTCTCAGAGGACTCAGAGAGCACAGGCAGTTAGAACAATGCTAAATCGAAAACCAGAAACCAGGGACTCTGGCTTTGGGCTTTTCTCTCTTTAGATATTTGACTAGGCAAATTTCTCCTTTCTTGAATTTTGTTTTTTCTAAGGATAGTAGTGAAGAAACTTACTTAGTGTTAGAATTGGGTCAATATATGCACCCCCCATGCCAGTACAATGCTTGTCATAGAGCAAACATTCAATAAAAATTACTGTTCTTCAAAATGTGATATATATGAAAGTAGAGGGGAGGGGGATACTGGGAGTGGAAAGGCTTAAATGGGGAGGGGTGGGGGAAAGGAGAGGGTGATGGGGAGGGTTAACCAAAACTAAGGCTGTTGGGCTGGTGAGACGGCCATACCTACCTGCTGGGCAAGATGTACCACTGGTGCAATAGTGGCACAAATATTATGGGGCTAACCGGCTTTCCTGATGGTATTTGAGACATGTTCCATA